GTTGCCAGTGGAAGGTGCGGGGCCAGTTCTAGCTGTTGAGGTCAACCCAGCGCCACTGGGGTGCTGGAGCCAGCTCTCCTGGGTGGTGGGTCGAGCCTGGCAGCATCTCCTCTCCCTGCAGAGAAATCCTCCAGCAGCTTTACAGCAGAGGTGGTGCTCAGTCTTCTCCTGGCCATCATCATCCTAGCGCTGGTGGCCACTGGAGGCTGGTACTGGCTGAAGCGGCGAGGACAAAGTGGGATGCCAGCGGAGAGCAACGCTCCCCAGGGCTTTGACAACATCACTTTTCGAGATGTAAGGACAGGGGTGAAGGGCCCCCAGCCACACCAAAACAGCAGTTTCCTAAAAGCTCAGCAAATCCCAGCTGGCTCCCACTCTGCCAACACATCAGGGAGGTGCAAAGGGCTCTGCCTCTTATCTGGTTGCCAGCAAACGTGTTGACCCCGAGCTGTAGGACTGACCTAGAAATGCTGCTGCTGCCATCAGGCAGTTGCTCCAGAAAGAGCTGAGGCTGCGATCCTCCTCCCCAGAGCCCTGCAGGGAGCGGGTCACGCAAACATTGCTCATCCTCTTCAAGCCAGCAACTTAAAAGCAGGACAGGCAGCTTAAACTGCAGGTTCCTAGGTGGGTTTGGTGCCACATAGTCCCTGGCAGATCCACCAGCCCCAGGACTGACCCCAAAAGAGGACGTGCTGGGGTGTTTGGTTCCTCGGCTGGGGTCGTGCTGGGCCAGCATGCAGGTTCTCCCCCCTGCAGCCTGGAAGAAGTTCTTGTATTTCAAATTAGACACAGCCCACACTTACTGTAACCGATCCCCGTTCATCTTTCTTTACAGGACAAGGTCATTATCTCTCCACTGCCAAAAGAGGGGGATGAGGAGTGAAATAACAAGCCAGCAGCAGTAATTGCCGACTCAGGCGTACGCAGGACAGGGCAGAGCATCCCTCCAGCAGGACCTCACACTCCGGCAGGCACCTCCAGCTCTGGACATTGGGCAGCGGGGAGCTGCCCCGGGTGCTCAGCCCAGGGTCCTGGCCCCGCAGAGGGATGTGCCGCCACCTCCACTACCTCCAAGCGCTCAGGAAAAGTGTTCTTGTCTTTTGTAACATGAACTTTCTGCACCAAGATGTAGTGACCTGCCTGTG